AGTTTGATCAAAATAAAAACGATTTTGAACTATAGATGCCTCATTCTCGAGGTGTTAAAACCTGTAAATGACCGTGAAGAAGAAGATTCAAACATGGATATTTGCAATTGGAGCTCATTGAGTTCGGATCCGGTACTGAAAATATGAGATCAACTAAGTTTGGATCCACAACAATTCCATCCACCGAATCTGGGTCGGATTCAAGAATTCTTGAATCTAATGGGCTCTCTTTACGATTAACATTCATTGAACATCTAAACTAAATATGAACTATTATTCTCCTATGAAATTAATCTTTTCAATTCTTAGAAAAATAGTATTGTTAACATCGTTTTTTTAACATTTGTTAGCATTTTTCACACACTAAAGACACACATTCTTTAGTAGGAGACAAACAACTTTTTTGTGTCTCTAACTGAAGAAAAGGCTTTTTTCGAGTTTCAGATATCAAATAATGAGTTTATTTGATAAACATGATATTTGATAAGTAACGTCTTTGCTTGATAAAGCATAAAAATCAATATTTAAATCTTTTTCAGAAACACAAAACTCGTTATAACTGTGTTGTATCGAGACAGCTTATGGATATCGGTCCTGTTTGCTTTTTTTTCATTAGTTAATGTTAAATCGTTTTTTGACAGCTATGATACTGAAAAATATATATCGAACATAAATTCCTGAACCAAAGTAGCTGAATAAAAAGAAGCATTTGTAAATAGCTTTTTGAAGAAGTCGTACGAAATTGAAATTAACGTCACTACTTGAAATTATCATTCTTCTAGGCTAGCTTCAACTCGAACACTCAATAGTATTCTTCGGTTATATTTCTTTTTCTCGAATATTCGGGACGTCGATGCTTGTCGCAAGATCTAAAAGTGCTTGAAGAGTCAAAAATAAGTGCCCGATAGGATACATTTTTCGAGTGCTCGGAACTCGATACCTATCGTGAAGATATTAGTAATTTATATTCTACCCCACTCTGAACCCATTCCAATTTAGAAAGTTCCTATTTAGGGGCAAGAAACGTATTAAAGATACTTGATATTTCCAAACTTATCGAATGTGAGATCACATTCATAACTATCATAACCAATTCACGTATTTTTTTTCTTCTTATAATAATAGTATATGTTGATTAACAAATACTATTGACACACATGTGTTATTAGGCCTTCAAATTGTATTTTTCTTGCTTTCTTTTGGTGTTTATTTCTTTTCTTTCTGCATCTTTTTTTGTCGCTTGACTCGAATATTGTTATTACTATTATTATATGGACAAAAAATGCTCATTTCTGTTCACATGCATAAGTGCAACTCGAAATGCTTGACAAATGTAAATATATAATATCATTTCTTCTTCTTTAGTGTCTTTCTTGATGCTTATGCATTAGATTTTTCCGATTCGCAGCCTGCAGATTGAGTGATATTGAAATTGATGGTTGTATCCTTGACAGAATGTTGTGGTGTGAAAGCATAATACTTTGAAATCGCATTTTCTCACTCAAACATTTACATCCTGTTTCATATTTGTGGATGACGTTGGAAACTAAAGAAAAATCTAGTTTGCAAGAAAAATAATCTTAACATGTATTACCGAGTGTAGATTGAAATAGCTTCAGGTGGTCGATATCTTATGGAGTAGATACTGTTTCACTACATTGAGAAATGATTTCCTTATGAAGACGATCGATCACATATGATAAAGGTCGAGCTTCCTAGTGAATTGCATTTTTCAATACATAGTTCATACTTTCCACGTCATCGTTATAAAATATTCATGTAGTTCAGTAATGATCAAAGTATGAGGTTCTGATACGCACTTCTGCAATCAAACGATTTCTAAAGTATTTGTCCTGATACTGTATGAACTAGCTGTAGAAGTTTCGAGGAGTCGTTTGGTTTTGATTCAAGCGTTATGATATGATACTGTCCCAAGCTTTTCGCAAACTATTCACACATTTGTCATATTCCCGTTGAGCTTTCGCTTGACATAATGAATCAAGCGAACCGAAAACCTTTTATAAAGCGATTGTCCATCTGCAAGTGCTAATTGTGTTTTCGATAGATGATTTTGATTTTTTTTCCAACGTGGCGCTTACAATACAAATGAATAGCATTTGGAAAAATCTCTTTAACAGCCATTTTGATAGCTTTTTCTCCATCACTACTTATTGTCACTTGAACTGATTCACCAAACACTTGTGTAGTACAAGTCAGAAGTTCACGCTAAGATTGAACATTATACCGATAATATCTCATTATCAAATCAAAAAGGATCGGATTCTTTTTCGTGCATTTGTCTTGTGGATGTGGGCTGTAGTTGAAAACAACATCTACATCCATACCCCACACCCTAGCTAGGGTGGAAGTCATTGTGTGGCTGTGAATGCGATGAAATCGTCAGTGCAGTACACTTGTGGCTGAACCACAGCATGAATAAACAATCGAACGCATCTGTTAGTTAGAAACGTGTCAAACGAACCCATCACTATCACTAATCAAAATTTATTGGCTTTAATTGTTTAGGCAGACATGGTGTCAAATATTCACAGACATATTGATCAACTAATTGTACAATTGATAGTCAAATAAAATTTAAAATATTTGTTATCGTAATAACTTTTCTGTAGTACAAAATGTGCGCGTAAATCTTCTCTTCACACACATCGATACTCCACATTTTTTTTCATGCTTTGTTAATCTATTATTTTCATTAAAAACTTTTACTAAAGAATTAGATCATACGTCTAAAGAAAAGTATTGATTCACGAAAATTTGATGAAATTTTTAAATGAATGGTTCAATTAGTGATACAAAGAATATCTCGTAACCAACATTTAAATGAATGATCAAAACTAAAAAAATTCTTTCGAAATAGTTTCTTTCATAAGATAATGACAGTTTTTCTACAAATGAAAAATATTTAATTAGAAAAAAATTTGAAGATATTAATTAACATATTCCAAATATTGATGAAAATGATGACTTTAGGAAGTGATGTTTATAATAAATAATAGTATATTTAGAAAATAAGACTTAATAACACATTAACATCTGACTAAGATATCTATATCATTAGATTTAACATAGCTCAGTCTGAAGAAATTTCTTAAAATTTTTAAGTAATTTTAATTTTTTCATCGTTGTTTTAGTGAACAGGTAAATAGCTAAATTCACTCAAGAATTTGAAAATGAAACTTAATATAAGAGATTTACGGCTATGCTAACAATTTAAGAGATGATAGTAGCTTGAAGTATGGAAATTCAAAGAGTAGAAAGATTATTTCTTCAATCGAATAATCTTTTTTTTTTCGAAAGTCTGTAGACTACCAAATTCAAGTGTTATCAACGTGTATGAGAATAGATGGGTGCGAGTGTGATGTGTGAGTACGTATGTCGGTGAGAAGAAGAGTCACAAACACACTCTTGTTATCAAGAGATAGCGTTTAAAATTCTTCAAAAAAGTTATATCCTTGATTTAACGAATGGGGTCTTGTCTGTATTTTTGGATCAAACATAATCAGACCTTGAAATCAAGTAAGTCATGTAAATTTTCTTCTATCTGAACTTTTTTTATTGAGAGAACCCTTCATTCCGTCTATCAATATTGAAGTTTGTAGTTACGTGATCTATCTAATGAATTTAACATTATTTTCGAAGAAAATAGTGAGTATAAGTTTTAAGTCGAAGTTTTCCAGCTCCCCCCCCCCCCGCCCCCACTCCATTACAGACCTTAGCAATCAATAATAAAAGATGTTA